TCCTTCCTTCCTTCCACGCCTTCTTTCTTTCTCCTGTAATATACATTAAAATTAAAAATGTGTTATTGAAGTGGTCAAAATTTTTATGTTCCCAAGAATAAATGTAAACTTCACATAAATGCATCAAGTTTTACATCAGTCTGGATGGAAATCACTTGAAAACTCTAAGTCTCAAGAAGACTACCATCAAAGTAATAGCCAGGACACAGTTTACTGAAAGCTTGGTCAATGAACACCAAAGATTTACAAAATATCAGCAAATGTGGTCATGTTTAAGGTATAAACCTCAGCCCTACCTTGCTTTCTCAACAAAAGCCTAAGTCAGACAGAAATGCTGCCCGTTTAAATCCCCTCTCTTCACAGGATGGAAGAGAATCACTACTGAACTCCAGCAGTTAATTGGAATTCCACTCAGTGTTGCCATAGTGGAGTGTCTCAGCCTAATAGAGCTTGTCTTTTAAGTTTTTAAAAATTATTTCTTTGACTGTTCAATAATGTAAGCCAAGCTCATGAAGAAGGCAGTTTCTAACAGTGAGGGTTTCTTGGGCTTTTAAAATACGTCATTGTTTTAAAAAACTTAATTATCTACATATAACATTTCCAACACTTGCACCTGCAATTTCTTTGACATCAAATGTGCAGGCAATAGTTCCGGAATTCAAAAGTCGCTGCTCTTTATAGATGCTTCATATGCATACAATGACTACTCATGCCGGTTACTGAAATCCATAATGTAGCTGCCTCTCCAAAACAATGTAGGAAAATAATCCAAGTATAAAGTATTCCTAAGCAATTATTTGTCTGTTGCCACTTATATATATCATATAAGCACCAATATTCTTCCTAAGACAGCAAAAGCAAAAAGAATAATTTACACTATATTTAGAAAGCACAAAGTTAAATGTTACCTAAATTAAAGGTAAAGAATCATGACAGTTCCAATACTTTGGAATTTTGGGGTTTGGGGTTTTTTAAATTTAATTATTTTCTGACACCATTTTTTCCCTTAAGCCATAAAACATTTATTCATAAAGAAAAATTGTGGAAAGATAGCAGTGATGATTTGATGAAGTTTCAGTCAACTTTATAAATTCTAGGGGAAATGTTTTTCCTAAGAAAGGCAGTTAGAGACAGTCCTGCTTCCCCCTTGGCTTGGATCATGTACTTAAGCAGGAAGCAAAAGCATTGTATTAACCTCTCTTTTCTTAGGAGAATATCTACATCACTAAGTTCCCACTGTGCTGCTCATTTCTGAGCTTCTTCACTGTTATTTCAGCCACTTCATACAGATTGCCAGAATGAAAATTAACTGACCATTCAGTGCCTGCACACACTGGGAATACCTTACGATATATTGTTCAAGGCCCAAATAATACTAACTCAAAAAAATTGTGGTATAATAAGCTCATTTAAGTCAAAGGGAACATTTGCCCCACAAAGAACAAAGACAGTCACTCATAAAGGAGGTTAAAGTGATTAAATAAGTTTAGAAGCCAGATTTTCTGCATGGTTGGAGATGGCCCTTAACTGGCTGGTGGCACAGGTATGTTCTCTCCATTCAAACCTGCAGAGGTAATCACGCTGGGATGAAAAGAGAAAGGTTTTGACCTGCAAGATTTCCAAGAAGAAAAGAGGTTCTTCCCAGATCTAGTAAATATTTAATCCAGCTGCCCAAAGAATTACCAATTTGTATCAGAAACTTGATACCTGATTCTATATAATTCTTTGCATTTTGCTGTTCAGCTCTTGGCTAGATTTCAAGTCCCCATTTACATACTGCTTTCCCAAACAATTCCTAAGATTAATTCAGAATATAATATTTTTTTTTTTTTTACTTCCACTGCCAGGAATAGATATGGATCACCAGGTACTTCCTGCTGCAGCTCACTGCCATGTAGAGCAATATATGCATGTCATTCATAAACCACCTGAATATCCTTTGAGATAAAAAACACAATGGGAACTGAAAGTACTTATTATTATTGCTGTAAAAAGACCACAGTATACATGATAACTTTTAACAGGCAGCCCATAAAACAGCAGGTACATTGATGATTTCCCTTTACTTTTTTGTGTGTTTTCTGGAAGTCTTTGTAAGTGAAGATCATCTCGTATTAAGCCAAATACCCATCCAAATCTGTTATGCTCCAAAACACATGCTAGAGAAAGTGGTAGAAAATGCAGCCACTCATAACAAATGGGAAACATTTCCTATCTCTAAGCAGTCCTTTTCTGCCCTTCTGCCCTAGGAAAAGACATACTATTTATGTAAAATACCCTCAGCGAGAGTGAAAGATTTTTAATTGCAGTTTACACTTTGCAAATATACTCTAAAAAAATCAGTTGCATGGTGAAATACTTCTTTGTATTTACTAAAGGCATAATTTGTTCTTTCAGTCCTGTATCCTCTAGATCATGTAGTGCAAGAAATGGAAAATGAGAGCATTAAAAAAATCCTAGCTCCACAAATGTCAAGGGTAAAAGTCCCACTGACTTCAGCAGGAGTGAAGCTATATCCTGTTGGTTTTTCATACCTCTGCTCCTCTTTATTTAATTCCTAACAGAAGCATATTTCAAGGGAGCAGTGATAAATTTAGGTCTTAAGTATCCATATGACTTYTGTAGTGCCAATCACTAAAGTTATCCTAATTAGGATCTCTGAATTTTTATCTCTTCAGAAATGTATCTAGTATCCTAAGTCAATGGACAGCTTGACTGTGCATATTAAGGAAAAACGAATACAGCTATCTTGGATAAGACCAAAGGTTCATTGAAAACAGTCCAAACAGTTGGAAAAAAACAACCAGCCTTTTATCACGCCTCCATCAGTATCCAAAAGTAAATGCTAAAAATCTTATAAATATGTTAAAAAATCATCAAGAGCAAGGCAGATGTGGTGATACTCAGTATCTAATCACCACCAGTTTGGATACCTCATGGACCATCTGTGTATTTTGTGTCTCCAAACAGTCCAAAGTTTTCTGTTTAATCAGATTAAGATTTAGCATCCTCAGCATCCTCCATCTGAGAGGTCCACACAGCTTAACTAAATATTGCATGAACACTTCCTGCTACTGTCTGTTTTAAACCTTTCTCTTTCTCATTACCTGATTGCTCTTTAATCTAATACTCAATATCAATTCTGAAGGCTTTTGGCCATGAATCCAAAGATGAGGAGTGGTCACATAGGTGGCAGAGGCATCCCCAGCTTGCAGGATTTCTAGTGGTAAGGAACCCTTGAGACAGTGCATTCCAATGAGAGACCACAGAAGCACCAGGAAGCTCCTGTCTTTCAAAATATTGATTCCACCACTGAATTTTTGAAAACTTCAGTTGAATAATTTTTGCAAGCATATATTTTTCAAAGAAGTTTTAGAGGACTCTCTCACCACTAGTGTCAACGTCACCTGAAAATATTTAATATTTCAATGAGGAGTTAAGAAACTGGGCATGATACACTAAAAATTGATAAACTTTTTTTAATTTCCAGATTCAGAAAATAAATTTAGCTGAAATCTCCTGAGGTGCTTGCTGTAGTTCTCACAATCAACAATGAACTTAGGTATTGCATGTTGCTTATGCAAAGATGCTATTTTTCCCTGAAA